CGAAAGGGTAAGATTTGATTCAGATCCAAATGTTAACAAATCAAATTTGTATCTAGGTATATCCAAGTTTTGAATCCATTGGCAACCCTAATGTAAGGTTATAAATGATTATTGGTAGGATGTTTGGGTTGGATGATTCACATTCTCATTAAAATTGATACGTAAAAATGCCAAACAAACCTAGAATTTCATGTAGGAGTGTGATAATAGGATTACCAGTTTGATATTTACATGGTGGAAAATGTTTTCAATCCACTGTTGATCTCGCTAATTGAACTGTTGACCCCTTCAACTCGATTAGTCAAAGGTTGGTCACGCAATGCATGTGCAAACTTTTGGAGGCCATAACTTTGCATTCTGGTGTCTGATTTGTATGATCGTTCTTTTTATATTGGATAACTTTTTTGAGATCTATGTGTCCCAAAATGCCAACTTGCCCTACTACTTTCATTGAAAAAACCCTTTTTTCTGAGCCCCAAATTGCAATTTTTAACAGTTTTTACAAATAAAAAAAATTTAAAAGCTCAATCAAAAGTATAAATTAAATATAAAATAATATTTATATATACATATATTATATCTCAAAAATAATTATACATTTTTAATGATAAAATACATGCTTATACACACACATATATGATGATGTGGCACGGTCTGACCCATTCAACCCGGATGATTGAACCAGTGACCTGTGATTCGGAGGCAAAAGTGGGTCAGCCTCCAAATAGGTTTTTAAAACATTGTGATGAAGGTTTTGCTGCAATGTCCCCTCAAACATAGTGCCACAAATCGAAACCCTAAGATGGTAGTCTTGGGTTTCGCTTAGCCAACAGTAGTTAGATCCTTTCCATATAATTTTTAGGTAGAATGACCAATCAGCCCGGATCAGAATTTTATAGCCCCAATGTACAGGGGGGGAAAGCATCCTGGCCGTGAATTGATGCCAAATTCAAGGGCAGGATGTAGTTTATAGGGGGGAGAGAGGCTAGTAGTAAGGGGAGGCCGGAATTCAGAATTTGGCATCGTGTGTATCCGTACTTCTCCGTAATTTTTATGGTGGTAGGAAATGAACAGCTGTGTATTCACCAAGATAGGGCTAAGCTGGTGGATGTTGTACCTAACGCAGCAATCTGATGACCCTCCAATTAGCTCTTTTTTTGGCATACATTGGATCCATGATAAATTAACAAAAACATAAAGCAAAAACCCACCTACTTCTTACAATAAAAAAAGAAAAAAAAAACAATACCTACCATTCCATTTGATAAACCCTAGATACCAATCCGACCATAGAGCTTGGATGCTTCTTGTTCATCATCGGTAAGTCCTTTTATCTCCACATAGGTTTTAAGGGTCCGTTAGATATACGAGAAAAGGGGTCTAGAATCTGAGAATGGTCCATTTCAATTCCAAGAGTTTGGTTGGATAGAATTGGAATATGATCCCCATTCATGATGGAATATCATTCCCCAATATTTGAGGGAATTATCATTCCCTCCCCTCCCTTGGGAATGAAATCCCATTCCAGCCATTCTTGTTTTGATACCGATCTGTTTGGACCAATTACACAAGGAGAATAGATCATTCGGATTCAATTTCCAATTCTGACTAGGAACTAAAGGGATGCTAATTGTTTCTTATTTGAGTTCAGATTGGCACCCTGCACGTGCCCCACATGCACATCTCAGCTTGCATTTTGAACATCTATGTTCCTAATACATGGTTTGATTGTGTTGTGGGGCGAGTATGAGTCACACTCTGTGGGGCGCCCTTGTGAATTCGCCAAATTCAACCAGAATGACATAAAAAATTTGTGTACAGCCCAAGATGTACGTTTATCATTGACTCACGTACATCTATACTATAAAGAAAGGTTGTCCACGTTACATGGCCCCTCCTTTCCCCAAACCCCCCTTTCCTGCATTCTCTCTCTCTCTCTCCTTATTAGCCCTCTCATTAGGCCACATAAGCAAGCCTCTCCTTGCTCCTATTAATCCCCATTTCCTAATTACCTAAGATCTTCCTAAAAATCTCTCTCTCTCTCCACAACCACATCTCTCACTCTCTATATCCACATAACTTCTCTAGTTAATTTGCTCAATATATGCTTTACCTTAAAATGTCTCTTCTAAGTAATGTCTAATTCATATTTATCCCCCCACCCACTTTGGCTTATTTATTCTCTCCTTAATTAGCTAAATATATGTTTTACCCTAAAATCTTCCTCTTTCTCTAGAGGGATGTGAAATGTTCTCTTTTTTTTTTCTTTCTCTCCTTAATTAGCTAAATATATGTTTTACCTAAAATCCTCCTCTTTCTCTATAGGGATGTGCAAAATTTCCTCTTTTTTTAATTTTAAATTGTAATTATTATTATTATTTAGAAAATATCGTTTTTCAGTAAATTAAAACAAATTATAATTGTTTAATGAAATTAATTTTTAATAATTAGTAAAAAAATAATATTAATATTAACTCTCAATAATTTATGATGATTTATTAATTCTCCATAATGGAAATTTCAGTAATTTATTTTTGAAAAATTCTGAAAATTATTATCTTTAATTTCTTAAATTATCTCATTAATAAATGATTATCTTTAATTTCTGAAAATTTCATTAATTTATTTCAGTTGAAAAATATTTAAAGTTTTCAGTAATTAAATTCTGAAAGTTTTAGATAATTAATTCATATAATTTCTGAAAATTCAAAAAATAATTCTTTCAGTAAAAAATAAGGGAAATCATTACAATTTCAGATAATTATTTCATATGATTTTTCAATAATTTCATTTATGTATTTTCCAAAAAAAATATTTATTACAATTTCAGATCATTAGTTATTACTTTTTATTTAAAAAATTACATTTTCAGAAAACTATTTATTAATTTTATTTGAAGAATAATAATGGAAATGTTATGACATTTATGTATTTTTGGAATATTATTGAAAATTTGTACAATTTCCATTGTAAATTATTTAAAATTAGTTTTTTTTGTTTAGTAATTAACAGGAAATTATTACAAGAAATTTATTTTTTGTACAATAATTAATTATTAATAAATTGCTGTAATAATTATTAAGAAATTATTATCATTAGTTCCTGAATTTAAGTAATTGATTTCAGTTAAAAATATTGAAATTTATTAAAATTTCATGTAATTTTTGAAATTTTCATTTATGTATTTTCTTAAAAATATTTATTACAATATCAGATAATTATTTATCACAGTTTCATATAATTTCTGAAATTTTCATTTATGTATTTCCTGAAAATATTTATTACAATTTTAGATAATTATTCATTACTTTTTTATTGATAATAATTATTAATAAATTATTGTCTTTCATCTTTGAAAATTTCAGTTAAAAATATTGAAAATTATTACAGTTTTTGGTAATTACCAAAAAAAATTGTTTATGTATTTTCTGAAAATATTCATTTAATTTCATTAAATTATAAAATGGAAGATATATTACCGTAGATTTTAGAAAAATTGCAACATTTATGTATATATTTGCCATGGTTGCCCCTCTCTCTTCAATGTATACCCTTGAAACAAATTTTCCATGTCTCTAACTCTTAATATATGCTTTTCATTCTTTTTTGGCACAAATTGGACATTAGGTTATTCCGTGCATCTCAGGGGTAGGGTTGTCAATTGGACTGGATTTGGTCCAATCCGATCTAGTCCAATGTGAGCCTATTATAAATGGATCAGGTCCAATCTAATCCAATGAATATTTTGAATCAATTTGGATCGGTCCAATTCAGTGTCTGTGACTGTCCAATCTGTTCAATTTCGTTTTGATTTAGATTGGTTTCAACCCAAACCCAGTTCCCGTTGGTACTAATATATACCAAAGCACATTCAAGCAATATTGACACCAAAGTGGAACATGGACCAACCAACCACCAACAGTAGAAAATAGTAGATCACGTTAGGAAATCTTTCTCTTCAATATATTAAAAACTATATATTTGTGAACCCACTAATCAATATTCGATGGTACAGGCTTCATTACACCACTACCAACTCTTCTTTTTTTCTTCACCGAACACAAAGTCTCTTCTACCCCACTGCTTTGATCGGCTTATTCTCTATGCCTACTGCTGCCCTGTATTTAGAAATGAAAAACAAACAAAAAAAAAAGAAAAAAGAAAAGAAGGAAATAATAAGAATTTATACCTTGGCTCCTGAAATAAAATAATTCACCAAAAAGTCATTCAAAAGCTCTACCTCAACTGCTTAAACTAATTAATGATCAAAATGGTTAAGTGAGCAGGACTCTTTTCCTTAAGAATATATAGCAGCAAACTAAGTAATAAGATCTACATAACTCGGTCCCACCACAACAGATTCTGGCCAGGGTATCACTACACTAACAACATCGAAGGCCAGTCAAGCAGAATGACATTCTGGGGTTAATTACATTGGTTTCAGCTGTAGGCTTTGGTTTTCCCAAAAGGGTTGTTAGTTGTCTAAATCATTAATCACATATTCACATTGATGGTAAAGCCCAGTTGTATAAAATAGACTCCTAAACACAATGAAGTACGTTGATGATGTGACTCAATTGATTCTCCTCAATTTGCATATTTGTACTCAGTAAATCAAGAATTCATGGTTGCTGCTCTGGTGGAGCTGGTCCACAACTAAGGTCATTTACAGGTGATTGGGCCATTTGGACTTTGCTTTGGGGCTAAAAGTCAAAAAGTAGAGGACTGGATATACCAATAAATTAGGCCAAAATTCCTCTAGTCCAACTGTTCTTAGTTCTGAGTCTGCAGTTGATGGGAGACTTTGCTTGGAAACGAAAGTCAGAAAGAAGTGACAGGTAGGATATGTATGAACGTGTCAACCACGCACTTCAACCCTGCCCTGCTGCCTATAAGTATTTGATTTTTGCATGGGAATTCTCATACTGCATTGAGTTCATTCGTAAATCAATTAGTGTTGTTTCTTTGATCAACTGAGCGCCAAAGCTGCATAGGGAAACATGGTAAACACGAAGTTGGTAGTTGTTGTATTGATAGTTTTGCTTAGTGTTGGGCTCTCCTTCGCTGCTAGGTCTCTGATCTCTCGTGATGAAGGAGAAGGAAGAGATGGTGATGGTGGAGACTCGGGGGCGAACTACAGATATGGCCCCGATTACTGTTCGGGCTATGGGTATGGGAGCGGTTCTGGTTATGGTGGGGCAGTAGGAGGAGGATATGGAAGTGGTGGGGGTGGTGGTGGAGGTGGTGGCGGCTCGGGCGATGGAAGTGGTTCTGGTTACGGTTATGGGAGTGGCAGTGGTTCTGGTAACGGTTACGGAGCATTTTTAGGTGGAGGTGGTGGAGGTGGAGGCGGAGGTGGAGGTGGCGGATGGGCGGGGAGTGGTAGTGGTTATGGTTCAGGAAGCGGAAGTGGGTCAGGGTATGGCTATGGAGGAGCCATAGGAGGAGGGGGAGGCGGAGGTGGAGGGGGAGGGGGAGCCGGCAACGGTTTTGGCTATGGTTTTGGTAGTGGTGGTGGCTCAGGGTATGGTTCTGGAGATTTCAATGATGGAGGTTTTGCTGGTGGTGTTGGAGGTGGAGGAGAAGGAGGTGGTGGTGGTAAAGGTGGCGGTGATTCTGGCAGTGGCTCTGGCTATGGCTACGGATCTGGATATGGTGATGGAGGTGGTTGAAGCCCGTAGAGCACTGGTGCTCCATACCACAACTAACAACCTTGATTAAGCTTTCTTTCATTATCGATCAAACGCTTCTGATCAGTCCATGTCACTACTTACTACGTACCCAGCTGTAGTCCTTAGTCATTATATCTTGGCTTCTTTTTTGTGGATGTGTCTGCATGGTTGGAGTGAATAAAACTACTATCAATGAGCCTAAAATGTATGTGCATGGAGGATTATAATTGTAACTTGATCAATAAAACAAATACAAACTCATTTTATCAGTAAAAATAGGAATTCTAGCTGGAATCTGAATGGATGAGAAGAGCTAGAATTGAATTGAGGTTATCTTATATTTATAAATACTGTTTTTACCACCTTTCTCAAGCCAGCACTAGTAGGGTCATGCTCATCGATCAGCCCACTGTAACTGTGTTCTGTGTCCTCAACGGCTGAACGTCCTCTGCTCGATTGTCTGGTTCTCTCCGTTTTACTTTTACGTCAAAATTCTCACTTTAATTAATTAGTATTTAAAAAGAAGAGAACAAGTAAAAACGATAACGAAATCACAAGTACAATCTCTACGGAACGGAATGCAGAAGCACAGCAGAAAGTGAGTCAACTTGCTCGTACATTCACAGTACAAATTAATGAGTATGTGAGAATAGTGTGGGATCCAATTCAGGAGATTACTGTTAAATCACTGTGCAGGGGGATTGATTGGAAACAAATCAGAATTAGGGTGCCTTGAAGAGATGGCATTAATTAACATCTAATAGCAGAATGACAGCAGCAAAGACAGCCATGATATCCATCGTTGTTGGCATACAACAAGGAAGAAAGATTTCCCTACGTACTAAAAGGGACCCGATCCGGTAAGTAAGCACAACATATAAACCACATTCACATTCAGTGAGCATTTTATAAATATTTTGTCTTTAATTTTTTCAAGGGTAGGTTTGGGGTATTTCAAAAAAATTAAAAGCACGTGCTTACTTGGTACTTTTGAAAAATATTTCATCAGCGATACCAGTCATGGTGTTCAGGAAATACCTCATGTGAAGTGTTTTATGACTGTTTTAACTCAAAATATTGCAACGGGTGTATCAATCGATACGTATTGTATTCTATACACCTCTATACTTTATGTTTCGGGGGTCCCACCTATTTTGGGGATAGACGGTTAAACCGATCCCCTGAACCAGTTTGAAAGAAAAAAATATTAAAGAAAGATATGATGAGTTCGAATGAGATATGCACACAACAAATAGCTAGGCTCATTTACCATGGCACACGTTTTATAACGACAAATATGTAGGCTCCAAGCAATGGATCGGTAAAATTATATTGAAACCCATTATGAGATATTAGATAAGGTCTAATATCAGATGGAATAACAATAATGGAAAGCCAACCTACTATCATAGGCTGGCTGGGCTACTTCATTTAAATCAGTGGCTTAGGCAATCCCCATTTACATGATAGGTGCACCAAATACCAATAACAATCACCCAAAAGATAGAGCAAATGCAAAAGATCTTCTCGTGGTAGCATCAACATCTTGGCATCATCAATATTCAAAACCAAAAGGGGAAGGCAGGCTGGGCTTTAGACATTGTTAGGAGATGAATATGGCAACCTAACTCTTTTGGGTCAAAAGCATAAAAGACAAAATATTAGGGCAAAAAGAATATCTTTGAGGCAAAATCACAGTCATATCACTTTTGGTGGTGGAAACAAATTCCTTGGAGTACAGAAGGAATTGGGACAAGATTTATGCTGAAAAAGTGAAGGATGGGCACATTGATAAAAAGCTTTGGGTACCCACAGTTTATATAGTAGCAACAGGCCGCCAATAGGCCCAATACCATGGTGGAAAAGAAAGAGTGTAGTCTTTTCAAAGACCCTAATGGGTCAAGTAGTGAACGATTATTAAGGACACACTTTGAGGAGAATAGCATGGTTCACGTTCTGCATATAATTCTAATTCAAAAGGAAGCACAGGATCACTTACTAAGGGGATAAAACAATTCAAGGAAAAACTTGCCAAAGTCAACCTCATCTGTATTTACTGGGGCAAAATAATTAGAAGAAACTAAAGCAAGTTGAGTGGAGACACAATTGAGGCTGATTCCGGATTGCATTCATAAGTCATAACACTCTTTTGCCACAAGCAATAGAAGAGTGGATACGCCAAAGACAATTACATGGAAGGTAAACCAAAATCTCCGGATTCTTGCACCGGTTATGATCATAATTCATAATTGAAGGCATGATTTTCAAAACCGGACCAGACCATATGGTCGGACCGGAAAAATCAGGAATGGGTCACCTGATTGGTTCCGTTTATCCTAAAACCACTTTTTGGCTAAAAACTATTGATTTGATCAGTGAACTGCTGATTTAGGCGGTCGAACAGTTAACCCTGATAACGATTTTTTACCTTTTTTATTTTTTATTTTTCTATCTGAGCAGGTTGTCCATTCGAACTGGACCATCAAACCGTTCGACCCAAGAACCGAACCCAAAAATAGTTCCCTGTCCAGTCCAATTTTAAAAACCTTGATTGAAGGTTCCAGCTAGCCTGCTGGTCAAGTCTTTGGTTGGTTGTAGTTGAGACCTGGGACTTGGGATTGAGTCCACCCGGGTTGGCAGGGCCACTAGGGTGGTCTAGGTGTTTGGAAGAAAGATTAAGGCCCTATTGTGCATCCCATTACCCAAAAAAAATTGATCATTATTAGGCTTAATTGGATTGCATGCAACAAAAAGGAAGAGGGGATAGGCACTGCATTAGGATCTCTTAAAAGTCAAACAAATCTATGAATACTCTGTATGCATCCACAATTAGCTACACATTTGGAATATCTTTCCATGAATTTAAGATATATGTACACGAAATATTCGTAATGCAAATTATCCAAAAGTTACAAACTTTATATTTTTTGGGGGCAAATTTCTTAAGCTACCCTTATGGTTTAGCTAATTGACTAAGTATACCCCTATTGTTTGATTATTGTATAACACTACTAATGATGCGCAATCCGGCCGGTCTTAGCTGTCAATGACCTTGCCTCTGAACTGAGTAGCAGGGAACCTGAAACGGAGAAGATGAGGAAGCTCCGGGGGGAACCCGGTGTAAAGGCTCCAAAGCTCAAGTTAGAATCCTTCAAAGGCAAGATAAAACTAGATAGCGCGAAGTTTGCATACCCTGTTCTCGGGGGGTAGAGAGCCTTTTATAACCA